CCTACCCCTGGTCTAGGAGAAGCCACCAAAAAGGTTCTTTCTTGTGTCCTCTCCAACCATGTCTGTGAAGGCAATGGGACCAAGGGAAAGCCCTCTCCCAGGTCAGCTCATAGGGAGAGTTGTCCATAATGTGCTTGCAAGTCCCAGCAAACCACAAGCAATGAGCCAATTTTAGAGAAACATCTTTCTAATCAGCATATGGCAATGAATTTCTGCACCATCTTGACCAAACTGGGACACATGCTAAACATATGCAATCTGAAACTTTTCATAGATATCTGTATGTAGCTTCCATTGATTGCACGTACCATGCTTTTCCAGTTGGAATGTACAGAGACCTGAACACTTCTTTCAAACCAGTTCTGCATCTGTAAAATGAGGAAAGTACTGAACTGCTTCTGTTATGAATACAAACAATACTTCAAAGCAGTTTGCATGCCAAATGTGCTATATAGATCAATAATATAGACCAGGGGTAGGCAACCTTTTTGAGCTGGGGGCCGGGTTGCTGTCCCTCAGACAATTGGGGGGCCGAAGCACCAAAAATAAATAAATAAATAAATATAAAAAAAATATTTTTTAAAAAAAATTAAAAATAAAAATATATATGCATGCACACTCTCTCAGCCCCAGAAAAGCCATGGCAAAATCCCAGTGGAGAAAACCCCAAGAACAAGTAATAGCAACAATAATCAATATCATCATAGCAGGGGGCAGCGGCGGCTGCAGGACTGGTCTGGGGCCGGTCCAAAGGCCTCGTGGGGCCGCATCCGGCCCCCGGGCCTTAGGTTGCCTACCCCTGATATAGACCCATGAGACATCCATATCCAGGCTATTGTAACAATTCAGCTGCAATCATATGTTAACAAATAGTTTTTCCCCAACTAGCAATACAAGTAAAATTCTGACCCAGTTGCAGAAAATGGGTTACAGAATATATAAGTCAAATAGAAGAGTCCAGACTTTTTTTATTGAGATCTTCATTCTTGAAGCTTTTGTCTAACCCTAAACAATGCTGCAAATAACTACGTAGCATTTATACTTTAGACTTTTGATCAACCAGCATTTATATTTTAGACTTTTGTGTCATATAGATGAATATGATGCAACGGCACCTTTCGTCACAGGTCTCCATAGATGTTAAGAGTGGTTAATGCCTAGGGCAAAGATTTTATATCAACTAGATCACTATGGCTTCTTTCAAATAATTGCTAAGATGCTGATTTGTTGAAGGTAACTAGAATTGCTTGTTGGTGCTCAACCCTACGTAAAAAGAATAATGAAATATAAATACCTCTCACTGAGACTTTGTACATATCACAGCTATATTTGTACATATCACTATTTTTCTTTGTTCATATCACTGTGCTCCAAACCACAGTCCAATTTTGTTATTTAGCCTTAGGTTTAAATAATTTATTTTATTACAGACAGAAACAGCAACTACCATCGTTATGCCCTGCCCATTAATAGTAATTTATACTTGAGGTGTGGCTTTTCCTTGTTTCCTTGCTATAAATTCTAGCAATGTTAAGCACTGCACATGGCTCATCTTTGTCTCCAGATTCATCTTCTGCACCATGATGTCTCCTGTGTCACAAATTTTTCCTCTAGTTCCTTTTTTTTTTTATTCCAGCCAAATCCAGCACTCCCTGCTCCTGTGGGGACATATGTGACCATCATGTTTCTCTTCATAAATAAAACAAGTGGTTACTCCTAAAAGAGTATCTAAGGGCTCATTCGCATTATGATTAGAAGTGAATTGCTGATCACTTTATATGTACTTCATCCCCATTCAAAACAGTTTCAGATGCAACTGCAATCGTTCAGAATCATGTTGAGGTAAGACAAATGCAAAAAAAAAATAAACACTACTTTTTGGTGGTCCTTTTTTAAAAAAAAAAAAAAGAGAGAAATTCAGAAGTGTGTTCAACAAGTGTGAATGATGGATCTGAATTGCAGGTAGGCAAAGAGGCAGGTAGAACCCAGCAGGGCCAAGGTGTGGCTGGAGGGAGGAAAAGAGGCAGGGAGGCTGGGCTCCCGCTAGCCATGGGTGGAAGCAGCCTAGGGAAAGCTGGAGTGGCAGGGATACCTCCTCGCTTCACATCCTGGAGGAGCAGCAGCAGCAAAAGCCCGGCTGGGCTAGGTGGTTCCAGCTCTGCTTTGCTCCACTCTCTGGTGGTGGCAGAGAGTCCGTGCAGGAGCAGACCATCCACCACCACCTCCACTGCCTCTGCCATACCCATACAGTATGTGGTGGAAAATAGCCTCCCTCCCATCCCCATGCCACAGACAAAGCTATGAATAAAGCATTTGCTCTTCTAAATGGCATCTTTCCATCATATTTGCATCCTGCCCACTGGGTATGCTGGTAAGATTCCCCCATTCCTATGGCAAGGAAAGAAAGGATCCTGATAAAAGCTAGAGTTGGAGAAAGTAAGAGGGGAAAAACAGATATCTGATGAACACAACCCTGTCTCTGGCCTGGGTGCCCAAAAGGGGGTTTGGTAGTGGCAACACATTATTCAAATATGGAACCCCTCTTCCACTCACAAATGAAATATGAGGAGTGAAAGCCATACACAACCATTGCACTTGTGTAGCATTTACAAATGTAAGAAGAAAAGGGTGAGGGAAGTACAATCCCCACTCCATTAATAGGTCATTTCTCAGGAACCAGTTGGCAACCAAAACCCATTATGAATAAAAGAAGGAAGGAAGGAGACCAAAGAATAGGCCAGTCTATCCTCCCATGTAAGGGAGTTCCACAGTCTGGGAGTAGTCACTGTGAAGACTCCGTCTCATGCCCTCACCAAATGTGCCTGTAAGGGTAGCAGGTCCAAGAGAATGCCTTTCAACTAAGAGCTCAAAGCACAGGCAGATCATATTTTGGGGGTCTGACAGAGCCATAGGACGTTATCACACGGGGGCAAATCTGCTGGTTAATCCACACAAAATCCAGACAGAAACTGGATTAGTGCCCCGTGTTTTCACACGACATCACACAGAAACTGGACAGAAAGTGGACAGAAACTTGTGTTAACCGCGATCTTTTGTAATTCAGTTGTCTGGAGCAAATGCAAATACGTAATTACGGTAATGACACATTTACCGTAATGGGATCGCCAAATGCGCATTGGGGAGCATTTCCCTGCTGTTACCATGGTTCCAGCAAGCATTCCTCTATCTGCACATGTGCAAGAGGCTCATTTCTACTACATTTACGGGTTTTTTTTCTCTTGTGTGTGGACGTTCAATGCACTTACTGTAAATTCACAATTAAGCTAATGATGTTTGCAGAAACAAGGTTTATTTCCCGTTTATTTTCAGGATGCCTCATTTCCACTTTTTTTTCAGTTTCTGGGCCACGTGTAATAACGTCCATAGATAGTGCAAGAAAAAGTTTCACAGACTTTGCCACTGCCCATATTTCTGGAGTGGAATTTGTTGTTGCTGCTGCATGCCTTCAGGTCATTTCGGACTTATGGCAACCCTCAGGTGAACCTATCATGAGGTTTCTTGGCAAGATTTGTTCAGATGGAGTTTACTATTTCCTTCTCCTGAGGCTGTGTGAGTTTGACTTGCTCAAGGTCATGCAGTGGGTTTCATGGCAGAGCAGGGATTTGAAGCCTGGTCTCCAGAATCGCAGTCCAACACTCAAACCATTTTGCCACACTGGCTGCAGAGCATTAAATTTTTGCATTGTGCTACAAATACAACAGTGGAGTTTATCACACAGGGAAAATCCCATGTGGAAATGGGGTTTTAAATTGGAAAAAAATGCAAAAGCGGTTAGATTTTCAGACGTCGTCGCTGTTAAAATAGAGTTAAAATGAGGTTAACCCGAACGGAAACTCGTCAAAAACTACAAAAGTAAAAAGAAGCAGTTTTTGACGAGTTTCCATTCGGGTTAACCTCATTTTAGCCCCATTTTAACAGTGACGTCTTCTGAAAATCTAACTGCTTTTGCATTTTTTTCCAATTTAAAGCCCTGTTTCTGCATGGGATTTCCCCCGTGTGATAAACTCCAGTATTGCATTAAGCATTGTGTGTAACCTCTGTTTTCAGCCCAGTTCCAGTTAAGAGTCATGTTTCAGCAGCACTAAAGAAAATTCTAGTATTGTTAGGAAGAAAGAATATAATGTCATTGTGAACCCCTCCATAACTGGGCAGTGGTAGTAGCACAAGGCATGATTCCAATGCATCATCCTACCACGGCTCAGTTATGGAGGCTCTCAGCAGATCATTACTTTCCTACTCCTTTAAAGTTATTTGCCAGGCTCTCTTCTAGTGTGACTGCAACCAGTATGGGCCTCAAGCATTGCTTTTGCAGAGGAATAGCAGCTTCACGGAAAGATGCCATCCAGAGAACTGATCTATGCTGAGAAACCTTCCATGTGGTTTTCTGTATTTCCATTGTACAGAAAAGGTCTGCATTCTAAGCAAGCCTATCTCATCCTGCAATTTTCTCTCCAACAATAACCCCCACATATTAAAAACTATTTAAATAGAGTCTTGATCTATGTTTTCAGCCCACATAGAAATTAAACCTAGTTTCCTAAACCCTGAAAAGCTAATTATGCATTCAATTAGAGTTTCTTAATAAAGATTAAAACTCTGAAGTCTATTACAAGCCCATATTTAATTCAACTGCCATTTTATCCATGCCATGAAAGTGTGAGTGGTAACAATGAATATAAATTATAATACATGCCACCAAGTGAATGCTATTTGTCCAAGAACGTTACTATAAAGAATTAAATTTTGCTATCGGTTCCATAATCTAGTTAAAATTGGTATTCTTTATTTGGTCTTTCAATGTAGTTCAATTTCCCTACTTTGAAAAACAAATTCCTGGGACTAAAGAAAAGAGATTAATTTATCATTAAGACTCTGCCTAATTGAAGTCAATTCTGAACAAACTTGAATTCAATTTCTGCTCATTAAATTGAATGTGCTCTGCGTTTTCTCTCTGCATTGCTTTGAGCAAGCAGCTGAGAACAAGGGACTAACATCAAAATTATTAAATTGAGGAGATTTTATTTGGTCTTCACATGCCAGGGCTGCTTTGATGAGGAGCTGTTTTGGCACTGAAAGGAAACGAGAGCAGCTGGAGGAAAAATCAAATGAAACTAAGCCTCGGAAAATTGAAGAAAACGCAAGCTTAATAATATTTAATAATTAAATTTCCACAAACAATAGCGGCAAATGAAGTAATCTGCAAAGTCTGTGAACTCATTTGCATAATTGATGCCGGTCCCCTGTAAATGAATAATGAAGATAATAAAAGATGTTTCTAAAAATGGGCACAATAACAGCAAAATTTCATCAAGCCGCGCTCTCTGATTAATCTGCTCTTGCAAATCAGCAGCGAAAGGGGAACGCGTGATTAACCGCACTGAGGACTGCAGCAGGCAGCAAGCTGCCCTTTCTCTGTGTGTCTCTGGGTACCACAGTGCAGCCCCACTCCCCTGCTCTGTCTGCATGCTGTTGCCAGTGAAGGAGGACGCATAGCCTGCCTGAGCACCCCACCACAAAGCCAGCTATTGCCTTCAGCCATTAACCACATCGCTGCCATCCTCCACGCTCACCCATCTGGAGTGAACAAAATGGCCTGTTCTCAACAAAGGCAGCTGCCTGGTACCAGATTAGACCAGGGCTTGATTTGGCTCAGTGTTGTCCTCATAGACGCCAGACTTCCCCTTCCCTTTCCCAGCCCATCATGAAAATTCCAGGGATTGAACCAGGAGGCCCTCTGCAGGCAAAATACTTGCTGTGCCATTCCCAAACTTTGGTCCTCCACGTGTTTTAGACTTCAGCTTCCAGAAGCTCTAGCCAGCTTGGCTAGCAGACAGAAATTCTGGGAGTTGAAGTTCAAAACATCTGGAGGACCACAGTTTGGGAACCATTGTATTAGGCTATAAACCTACCATGGATACCATGGTTCTACCATGGCTTCCAGAATGAGCAGGTATAGGATAGAAGAAGTGTGAAGGTGTAATGTTTCCAACACTGGAGGTAGTCCAGACACAGTTGTTCACACCCAAGTGGATGACCGGTCTGCTCCCCAGCATCTTTAATAGCTGGTGGAAGGAAGGAAACATCTCAGTGTTAGTGGAATCCCAGCAACAACCCATTGCATTGCTATACAGGGGAATTCAAATCAATGTGGGGTGATGCTGAGTTAATTGGATAGGATAGGTGCTCGCTGCTGGACCTATTCTGCTCAGTAAAAAGCAGGAAGGAAGAATCTTGGAAGCAATGCAGGAGAAATGAAAGACTGTAGAGCAGAATTTGGAGTCCCAGGGAAACAGGCTAATGTGCAATGAAACCCCTTTAAGCTATGTACCTTACAGGCACAGATGTCTACAATACCCTCCTACGTTTCACAATGAAATCCAAGACACATGTTGTCAAGCAACATTAGAGTGTGGTCAAGATGGCAAATATGATTAACCAAGAAGAATACAAAGGCTAGGAGAGGCTGCATCAGTTTGCTTTGCCCAAGTCTACAGGGAAGGGTAAGATTCTTCCCCTGTTAAGTGGAAACTGCTTTTGCACTTTGCACTTGAAGTATGCAGCAATTGAAGCATGCTGAGGAGAAAGGGGGAGGAGGAGAGAGAAATTGGGGCATTTTAAAATCAGCTAAAGAGTAGAATGAGAGAGGATTGACTGGGACTATTTCTTCCAAATTGGGACAGTCTGGTTTGTTATTGTTTTTATTGTTGTGTACCTTCAAGTCGTTTCCATCTTTGGTGTAGCTAAGGCAAACCTATCATGTGGTTTTCTTGGCAAGATTTGTTCAGAGGGAATTTGCTCTGAAGCTGAGAGAATGTGACTTACCCCAAGGTCACCCAGTACGCATATGTTATTATTACAGACTGGCTGATTTAGGAAGGGTGAACCAGTAGCTCACTCACATAGCGCATACTTGATATAAACAGGTTCAGCTCCCAGCATCTTCAAGATTACTTTTAGGACTACAACTCCTAGAATTCCCCAGCCAACTTGGCCACTGGGTTGCATGGAGCAATAGGCTAAACTGATAGAAGGTGCTTCCTATGCTCCTATATAGTAGAGCATATACAATGTTTTCAGGGCTGCCTTCATGTTGCACCAATATACACATCCACTTTCCTCTGCCACACAAACATTTCAGCACACAGAGATATGTATACACATGTATGCACACTAGCCCTCTCCACTGAGACTGCTGTTTATCCTGCATGACTATCAATTGAGAAAGAAAGTCTCAATAGCAGGACTGTTGAAGGTAAGGAGAGGTTCTTTCTTTGCTTTACTCCCAACAATCCTGACAAGGACACTGTCCCAGTCCAACTAATAGCAATGTCCAGAGTGGAGCGATGGGGATGGCAAAATGAGGGCATCGGGGGGGGGCTTAAGAATTGTCTCCCCCACCCCAGTGAAATCTCTTTTTTAAAAAAACCTCTCAAATTTACTAGCACTGGAGTAACCTAAAAAAACTTTTGTCAAGCCTTTAAAAATACAGTTTAGATAGCCAAAGAAAAGGGGCAGACAATGCGACTAAGGTAATGGAAACACAGAGAATAGAAGAGTTCTAGGTGTGAACAATTTTGGTGTCTCATTCATTGCAACACTAAAAGTTTGGGAATGAAAGGCAAATTTCATTGGGCCGGGCAGAATTCTTATTGGAGGGCTATTCCCTCGTTTGTCTCCCCCTGCGTCTTCACCCAAGGCAGTGCCAGAAGATAAGTTTTTTCCCCCTGGTCCAGCTGATCAGTGAACGGAAGAGAGAAAACTGAGGAGGGTTCTACAAGGAATAACAAGGGTGAAGCCTGGGGATCTATGCAGGCTGATGGGAAGGGGAAATTGTGTATCCCTGGAAAATATCCCAAGTGAACTCTCACCCTAGTCTACCAAACACAAGGTGCATCCACACTGCAGAAATAAAGCAATCTGACACCACTTTTAACTGCCACGTCTCAGTGCTATGGTCTTCTGGGATTTGTAGTTTAGTGGAATATTTAGTCTTTCCTGTCAGAGAGCTGTGGTGTCAGAACTAACTACAGATCCCAGCATTCCATATCATTGGGCCATGGTGTGGAGAGAAGGCAGAATAGAACATGCCTTAGCAACAGCCAATAGAATGTGAGTTGGCGGCAGCCAATCAAATGGTAGGCTTGAGGTGTTAAATAAGACCGTAGCTGACAGTTGAAGTCAGACTGGGTCTGGCAGTGTAACAGTCCAGAAGCAAGAGACTTGAGGGCTAAAGCTCAGAAGGGAGGGCCTTAGCTCTAGGACAGAACTCCAAGTGAGGGAGTTTCTGGGATTTAGGGCTGATGCACACCGGCCTAAAGGGGCGGCACAGAGTCGCCCCTGGGAGCAGCGGATCAGGGCCACGGCAACCACACGCCATGGCCTCAATCCTTCTTTTTTGCCACCCCAAAAAGAGTGACAAAATGCCGCTCCTTTTGGGGGAGGCAAAAGGCCACCCTTTGAGCCGCTGCCCCGGCTCTTTTGCCACGGCAACCACACGCTGTGCCAAGAGAGCACCCTGATGCCATGCGCCATGTGGACGGGCATGCGGAGTTTGGGCAGAGTCAGGGCAGCCGGCATGTGGTTGCCCCACCCCAACTCCACCGTCAGGGTGGCCCTTTTGGCCGGTCTGCATTGGTCCTTAGTTAGCCTGAGGGCTAAT